TATATATATATATATATATATATATATATATGCAGCCACACAACAAAATAGAAGTTGGTACCTGACTTTTTTTCACGGTATCGTGCTCACAACATGAACAAACAGATGTACAGACAGATATATTTTCAATTCCCCCTTTTCGCTGCGCTACAAGGGACAAAAAGAAAAGGAAAAGTTCTTGCTTATTTTATACTAAATTATAAAAACAAATAGGCACCGTCACCTTCATGTCACGTCAAAGTCATTTTATACTGCAACACAAAAAATAATTAAAGAACGACACAAAAAAATCTCTAAATTGATAAAAACAAATGCATAAAATCATTCAACAAAACTACTATAAAAAATTAAAAATCAAGTTGTTAAACTTTATTTCAGCCAAATGCCAGTGAGTCATGGTGGGACATAATCTGAATTTAGATCTTGTGGCCTCAGCAGCAAACACATTACTAAACCCGCCTTTATGAGAAATGGTGCATTTAGTTTATACAAAGACTACAGTTTGTTGGTTTCTTCAGTGGGATATCATCTCTGTATTTCTTACGACCCTCCATAATAAACAGAACTGTCTACCTTCCAGTTCTCTGAAGCTCTTGGCCGTGGTGTTCTGCATGTAGGGGTTCCTCCACCTGCACGGCTGTACCATTAGGGACTCCTGGCATTTTCCTCTTTTCCTGCAGACACAAGCAACAAATTTAAAAAAAAAAAGAAGCAAAATATTAGACCATTAGCGTTTCATTAGAACCAAATGGGGCCAAAATTTCAGGCTGAAAAAGAAACCCAATCCTTGTTGTGCACCTGAGAAGGGACATTCTTTGGGGGCTCAATACGAATTGAAGGGTCCCACTCTCCTGGTGGCAGCACCGTCACCTGATCCAGGAACTCATCAATCCCTGCCAACAAGTCACTTCTGTCCTTTGCTTTGTATGCTACATTATGGAAGATCTGAAGCAGAGGGAGGGGAATTACTTAGGAAATGAATTCTATGTTTTTGTAGGGCAGATCTTGAAGAAGAGCTTTCACCTCATCTGTCATGATGGTTGCCATAGAGCGTCCAATTTCATGGTACTGTTGCTCCTTCCCATCAGGGCCCAGAAGGATGAAGAGGAACCTGATTTGAAAAAGCATTTAAACTAAAGTATATAAAGTGCTCCTTCATTGTTGAAGTGAATGACTAACAGATCTGAAGAGAGCTATGAGGGTCTACCTGGTGGGGATGGGGACCTCAGTGAGTCCGGTGAGGAGGACAGCAGGGGAAAGACGGACAAATGCCACAATGGGTCTCTCTAGGAAGTCCAGTACTCCAACCAGAACATTGGAGGCCTCTGCACCCTCTGGAATCTTCTTCATGAAGTGAAGGTCGACCTGATGAAATTTCAAATAAACAATAAATAGGAGTTTACAGTAATCCCTCACTTATCACAGGGGTTATGTTCCAGACACCCCCGCTATAGGTGAAAATCTGCAAAGTAGGTACGTTATTTTAGTATTTATATATATATTGAGGCTTCATAAACCTTTCCCACACTCTTGCAATGTTCTAAACTCTCTTAACGCTCTAAAAGAGCACAGTGAAAGAGACTGATGCTATGGTTACAGAACCAATCAGCGCATGGGGGCAAACTGACCATCGGGAGCACCGGGACGTTTCCCGATGGCCTGGCCCCCTCAGTGATTGCTGAGGGGACTAAAGGCTTGGTTTGGGTCACGCTTGATTATTTTAAATAAACAATTCATGCCACTCACTCTGGTAACCACCTCACTGAAGCTTCCACACCAGTGATGGGGAAAGACAGACCTCCCCCACACCCTCCTTTTTCTTTCTGAGGTTGTCTGTCACAGCAGAGCAGAGACACACATCAGGTTGCATGTCCGCATTTTGTGTGTCTCTGCTCTGCTGTGAAAGACAGCCTCAGAAAGAGAAAGGAGGGTTCCCCTCGGCGATCACTGAGCGGGCCAGGCCACCAGGAAATGTCCAGGTGCTCCCAGTAACCAGTCCACCCCTCAGCACAATGCTCTGGTTGGTCGCCTTCCATCAATCAACCAATCCTGTGTCATGTACAATCTTGCGTTGAAAACCCACGATAGAGTGAGTCCGTGAAAGTCGAATCACGAAATATCGAGGGACAACTGTAATATAATTTTCAGTGGTAAATATAGAACTGTGCTAAAGTTTTGAGTTATCCCTCATTTATTTGTATGCTGCTTCCAATGAGTCAGACCTTCTTGTAATCTTTAACCTTGGTCTTAATTTTTTTTTTTCATCAGAATTCATAGGACTTGAGCTGTTTTTTTTCACTCCATCCATCAGCCCAGGACCTTTTAAATTTTCACAAGATATTTTTTAGTCTTAAACCTGTTAACGCTGATCTATGGATCATTCAGATCATTAAACGCTCCTAAACTTAAGGCATGACCCAGGGTGGCGTCAACACATATCGCAACAGACATCTTAACCAAAAGCCAGTTTTCACTTAGATATTGTGATATTGGCAGCTTGTCACAAATACACAATTTGTTACCATGTCCTTGGTTGAATCTATAACAAACACCAACGAAAACAGTTTGACTCATATATTTTTAGCAGGAACAAGGCAACTGCCAGAGCGCTATCTGCTGAAAACAAGGTAACAAAAAGTTGATCAGTTGAAGGATAGGACATCTCTTAGGTCTTCTGTCAGTTTTTTCGGTCCTTTTTTCTGTTTCTTAAATACATTGTTGTTTATTTGTTGCAAACCAGTTTTATTTTGTTCTAGCTTGAATACTTTTTGTTTTATCCACTTTAAAGATTACAAGATAATCTGGCTTCTTAGAAGAAAAAGTAAAGAAATTAGATTGTTTGAGAACTAAAATGTTTGCACAGTATTATGCAAAATAATAATAAAAAACTGTCTCCTGAAACACTCTTCCTGCTCTAGATTAATATTCTCACATTGCAAATGCAGGCCAAGAGACAAAAACTTGGCACAAGAGATTTCATACTAAGTAACTGCTGCTCTACAGTTGATTCCTATGGAGTGCAATGTGAACAAACTAATATTTGTTAGCTTATCGCTGCTGCCCTTAGGTTAAAATGACCCAGTCATAATTTTTTTTTCAAGAGCAGCAGGAGGGTTAAACAAGACTGAATGCCATGCATCTATGAAAATACATTACACATGTATTACCACAACTTTAAAGCATATTCAGTCCTTTAACTTGTGGGTTTTCAGTCCAAACTGATCAAAGAAAAGAGCACAGTCTGTTGGTTTACCTTACTGAGGTCCGGTTGGCTGCTGTCCGGTGCAGCACCGTTCTTGGCTGGTTCGGCAGGTGGAGGAGGCTGCGGAGATGTAGCTGGCCCTAACAGAGGATTAGTTGTAGGTGTACATGTATGAGAGAGAACGAGTGAATCAGAGTCGTTTCTTGCCAAAATAAAAATTAACTAAAATTTCGTCAAAGGCATTTTTGTTTGTCTTCCAATTACAATGCCAGTTCATTTTGTTCTTGGACAGAGTGATGCCATTGGTTTGTCTCTCACCAGCAAAGCCCTGTTTATTTTTTCCACGTTTAACTCGAGTTTTATCTAAATACATTAAAGGTTTTGACGGATTAATATTCAATAGGATGGAAGGCGGTGTGAAAAACCCACCGATGCCTTGAGGCTCTGACGGTTTGCGTGTTCCCTCTGTGATGGAGCGAACCATTGGGATCAGGTTTTTCTTCTTCTCGTTCTGGTGGTGGTGTCTCTTCAGCAGGGCCTCGCGGACCCTCACTCTCACACTGTCGTCCAGTTCATGGGAAGCCTCCTGGTGGTCCAGCACCATGTCTGCAACACAAAGAGTTGCCCTTCAACCCCCAATCTACAGTGTCTTTAGACTGCAGTTATCTAAAAAGTAAACATACTTTTGCATAACTTAACCAAAACTTTGGTCTTCTTAATTTATGCAAGCTATTATGGCTGAGAAACTTGATTAATAATGCAATAATAAAATAACACAAGCTATTATAATCTATTACAAGCATGTTTTTGGTGACTGAATTGTTCAAATTCATGTTAAACAACCTGTTCAGACATCTGTCCATGTGTTGGGTGCTCGTGTGCAACATTTCTGATCAAACAGGGCTGCAGAATAAATCGCTTCTCCCCGCCTTTAAAGCCAACCTGCTGAGTCAAGCCTGGATCATAACTCACTTCCTGCCTTCAGACACACAAACTGGCTGCAGTGTCTGGATTTCTACTGAGCACAATTTGAGACCAGCGATAATGAGATGACCTCAGTGCTGGTTTTTCAGCCTTGTTAATAAGAATGGTGGCAACAGAAGAGCGCAGAGAAGCCTGCAGTGAGGCAAAACCTGCAGAATGAAAACCCTGGGGGGGAAGTGTCGGGTGGGGCAGGACTCTGCGGCTTCAGGCTTTTTGTGGAGTCGACTCTTCAAAAGTAAACAAACTGTAAAAAGCACAAACGTCGTGGAACATGTCTCCTTTATGTTTCAAAGATGAAATAGTGCCATTCTTTTGTCTTTCTCATTTTTAGACCTGCCTGCGGACATTAACGCCAAAAAAATACATTTCTAAACATGCTGAACATTTTACACATGTGAGAATGAGAGTACAATACGTCTTAATAATAAGTTGAGAAAAAGTATTTGTCAAGCGCCCCAATCTCAAAGTTATTATCAAATGCTGACATGCTCCTCTGGTTCTCTGGTTTGGTTCCACTCAGAGCTTGTGTCTCGGTAACTTTTAGATCAGGGGTGTCAAACCCACTTACAAAAGGGGCCAAAACTAAAACCTTTTTCAAACTAAGGGCCGGTTTCAGAAGCTACATGAACTCAAGTTAGATACACAACATCTTTTCTTGGTTGCAGGTTCCTCAACAAGAGTTAGACTGTTCTCATTTACATTCTCTATTGCACCTTTGAGATCATAATCAAAGATTACAAAAAAAAAAAATAATAATTAAAGTGATAAAAGTATTTTACATTTAAAATAACATCTTGGGGGCCAAATAAGATGTTAAGGAGGGCCACATTTGGCCCCCGGGCCTTGAGTTTGACACATATGTTTTAGATCAAGTGGGAACTTTAAGGTTCCTTCACATAAAGCATCTTTGGAACAAACAGCTTTTTCTGTGCAACAGATTAGCATGCACAAATCTCCTACAGATCTTAAACATCACTCAAATGAGACCAACAGATAGGACCTCATCCTCAGTACTGAGGATGTTGCTCTGGTCTGTCTGAATAAAGAAGGAGCTGAGTCGAAAGACGAAGCTCTCATTTCACTGGTCTGTCTACATTCCAATCCTCACCTCATAAGGTGTGGATAGTGAATAAAAGAACAAGATCCCAGATACAAGCAGCTGAATGAGCTTCTTTCATGAGACGTCCCGGTTCAACTTTAAAGATGGAGAGGAGCTCGGAGTTGAGCCACTGCTCCTCTACATCGAAAAGAGTCAGCTGAACTGGTTAAGGCTTCTGATTATGATGCCTTCTGGGTACCTCCTTTCTGCTGGTTTTCAAGACATGTCCCTACTGGGAGGAGACCCCCGGGGTAGACCCAGAACTCCCGGAGGGATTGACCTTGAATTCCCCAAGGAGGAGATGGGGAATGTTGCTGGGGAAAGGGTCTCTGGGGTTCCCTCCTAAACTTGTTGCCTCTGTGACCCCATCAGAGATAAACAGCAGAAAATGGATGGTTTTAATCAAAAGAATAAATTAAATCAAATCTATAAATAAATGCTGCTTTGATAGACAACAATGGCCTTAAGAAGCTTAAGATAGATAAGTAGTTATCTTTAAAATTATTTTCAGCCCTGGAATATTTTAAATGTTTTATATCATAGTAGAAAATCATCCTGAAGTTGATGAATCATTTTATCAAGGCAACATGTTGCATGAAACAATTAGCAACCTGTTTTCTGTAAAAAGGTGTATTTTATCCTCCTCCATCCTCCTGTTTCTGCTTTCAGAGTGGCCATTAGGAAGAGTAGCTGTGTGTGTGCAGAAAAAGTGCTACCACGTGCTAAAGATCTATGGGAATAATGGTCTGATTTCTTTAATTTCCCGCCCTGTTCAGTGTGACTCAGCTTGTGCTGTGAGTCCTGAAGGTCCAGCACACACCACACCACACCACTCTGCTGCTCACAGATTCAGAGGCTTTACCTTCAATGTTGTGTTTGCAAGCAGTCAGTGGAAACCGTGACTCTTCTTTTAGGCCTTAAAAAGTGTTCAAATGCGTGTTGTCAAAGATATTTAACATTCAGGGTACCACGCTGGCCCAGTTCAACTCCTGGAGAAGAGACTACAAATCTCACTCAGCCTGGTTAGAAGCAGAACTGTCAGACAGCTGTTGTGCTGTAGTCACTGCAGGGTTCTGGATTCATAATGAGGTTGTTTCACAATGTGAACATCAAAATGAATCATCTAAAAGTCAGATGGTGCTTTTCAAGAACTGACAGTTTGTGTCAGATTCTCTCATGGTGTCCTGAACTATTTTCCCTATGTAAGGAGGATAAACCAATTTATTAAAGCATTCAAAGGCCACTTGACTGAGATAGAAAGCCTTATTTTTATCATCAAGTTTAATATTTACTCAAGGACAGTGGCAAGACGTTAAAGTACAGGAGAGGGGATGAGAGGACAATAAAATGTGAAATGCCACTCATGGACATTGACAATAAAAATGGTTCTTTAGGTTTTACAGCACTCTGGTTCTGAGGTATCGATGTAAAAATTCTCACCTGCTATCTCTTCAATGCAGTCTGCACGCATGTCGAGCAGCACGCTGCCGTTGATGATGCAGCTGCGGAGCTCGAACAGGCTGTGGAGGGAAAGAGTAGCAACGTAGGGCTTGCTCCACCTCTCCCCTCCGTCCTCCACATCCTCCTCAAACTTCAACCACCTGCAACATAAAGACGCCAGAGATCAGGAACCCCTCCCGTTTCTGTTCCTGTTTTTTTTTTTAATCATTAAAATATTAAGACTATTTATTGAAAGCCCACTAATGGAGGTTCTGGTTAAAACAAAAAGAGGCACTATGAACGAACTGGAGTTGGACAGAATGACATGTAATGTTTTTTTGATCTATTTTAAGAATGCTTTTAATTAAGCCTTTTTCAAAGACAGGATTTCTTGAAGTGCCAGCTTTTCACTAAACCCAGACACAAACAGATAAATAAATAAAAATAAAGAAAAATCTATTCTGGGGAGATCTATCTGAGATTCCACACACTTACTTTTGGATAAAAACTCTTGAGGGATTCCCATGTGTGCGTCTCCCCCTTGCCGTATGTCCTCAGTGTCTCTCCCTCGTGTGATCAGCTCCCACCTACACCACCTGTTGTCTTTCCCAGGTGTTTGGGTTCATCCCCTCGTTAACGTCTGTATGCAAGTCTGAGTCTCTGTGTTCTTCTTTGTCTGGGTATTGTATCCTGCATGTGTCCTGTTTCTGTCTCCTTCTGTGTCTCCTCTGAGTTCAAGTTTGCTGCATGTCAGCTTTTACTTTTCGGGATTAAAACTATATTTTACTTTAAATCCAGAGTTCTCTGATTCCTATCTACAAATTAGGTTCTAAGCACAAGAAACGTGACAAATATATGGAGTATTAATAAAGTATGAATCCATAGTTCACAAAGACAAATTATTTAACAAAGTACTGTAATTTTCACTGTATAAGTCACAGTATTTTGCGTAAATTAGCATGCCTGTTACTTATACAACGAAGTGATGTATTTATGTTTTTTTTCTTTTCTTTCTCATATTTATAACCCAATTTTTGGCTGAGATCTGACGATCTAATTCATTCTGACATGGAAAATATTGAACACTACCATTTTCAGCCACTAGAGGGCGCTGAACTAATATGGCAACCAAGTGTCTCATTAATAGGTAAAAGTGGCTATTAATGAGACACTTGGCTTGCCATACAAGCCTCCTTCGTCTCGCTCCAGAACTCCTGGAGCAAAATCAGCTGCATTTCTCTGTGCCGCCCAGGCAAAATGCAGCTGATTTGACCATTAAAGTGCATTTATTAAGTAAAGGTTAAACTGAGACACCTTTACTATAATGTCGAGCAAACAAATAATTGTTTTTAGGCGGTTATCTTGTTAAATTTTTGGAGAAATGCATAGCGTGTCCTCTGTCTGCGCGCTCCCATGAATCAGCTTTGAAATGCAGCTGATGTGACCATTAAAATGCATTTATTAAGGAAAAGTGTAACTTAGACACACCTTTACTATAATTTCGAGCAAACAGATAATTGTTTTTAAGTGTTAATCTTTTTAAATTTTTTGTTAAAGTCCTCCTGTGCACGCTCCTGCGGCCTGGCAGCCAATCAATTTTTGGCACAACACTGGCCCACATTTCTGGGTTGTCAGCTGTGACGCGTAATAGATGTAACTTATACAGTGAAGCGACATATTTATGTATTTTCCACTTTATTAGACTTATTTGGACTGACGCGATTTAAACAGCAGCGCAATGTTTACGGCAGCAAGTACGGTAATTACTTTTTTTTTTTTTTACATTTAAGGTAAAGTATTAAATGATGATCCCTGTGTGAGTAAAGTCTGTCTGACTTGATATTTCTTCAAACTATTGTGATGGCGTTCATTGGTCCGAACATTTTATGTATGTATTATCTAACATCTGGATTTAAATGATTTCTGCCCGTAATGACATGTGTCAACCAAAGTGCCGAATTCATTCTAAACATCTAGAAAATTGCTCGACAAATTAATGAAACTTTTAGAAAGTTACCATGTGGTGCTCGACTACAGCTGTTCAACTTTTGGATTCAATTCAGTTTAAGATGGTGTCCACAGCTAATTATGCTTAGTGATAACAAACTGGTTGTAACCCAATCAACTTCATACATACTGGTCTTAAAGTTGGTGTTGCTAAAACTCATCTACAAATAATTTGAGAGCAAACACAACACGGAAGATATTTGCATAGAAGGTCAGGTAAAATGCATTCCTTCAAGGAACTCTAGTTTAATTTTTATGATCCCTAAAAGTTTGGTGCCGGCTACAACTACAGAGAATTTCACAGTAAAGAAAAAGTTTTTCCAGTTCTGTGCACACATTAGCTTATAAAATCTAATGTAGAGATTTGAACACTTCTTTTCTGTGACTTCAAAGTCTGACAAGTCAAGGTGAGTTTCAGTGTGAATGAAATCACCCCAGCTGTATGTGATTCCATTCATTTTATCCACGCAAGAAATGTTTCACTCGGGTTTACATGTAAAAAACACTCGTATACATCTGTCTTCATGAGAGCTCATCTGTGGAGCTGCCAGGCAGACCGAGGCCTTATTTGGCTTGCTCCCAGGAGAGACCCTGACCTGGCTGTTTCCTTCCACTCAGCATCCTTGTCATCCTTCACACAGATCTCGTCCAGCTCTGTGAACAGCTCGTGAGACACGTGTTCAGCATCCTCCTCTGTGCCGAGGATGAACTGGACCCGCTGGGACGGAGTGTCTGATGGAAGAACAGGAAAAATCAAGTGATAAAAACAAAAAGCTTTTTTTGTTCGTGTCATCTCTTTTAAGATGGCAGCACAAACACTTTCAGACAAGTTTACAGTGGTGCTTGACTGTTTGTGAAACCTTTTGATTTTTCTATATTTCTGCATAAATAAGAACTAAAACATCAGATTTTCACACAAGTCCTAAAAGTAGACAAAGAGAACCCAGTTAAATGAGACAAAAATATTATTTATTTATTGAAGAAAATGATCCAATATTACATACGTGTGAGTGGTAAAAGTATGTGAACCTTTGCTTTCAGTCTCTGGTGTGACACCCTTGTGCAACAATAACTAGAACTAAACGTTTCCAGTAACTGTTGATCAGCCCTGCACACCGGCTTGGAGGAACTTTAGACCATCCCTCCGTACAGAACAGCTTCAACTCTGGATGTTGGTGGTTTCCTCACATTAACTGCTGCTTCAGGTCCTTCCACAACATCTGGATTGGATTAAGGTCAGGACTTTGACTTGACCATTCCAAAACATGAACTTTATTCTTCTTGAACTATTCTTTGGTAGAACCACTTGTGTGCTGAGGGTCATTGTCTCGCTGCATGACCCACCTTCTCTTGAGATTCACTTCATGGACAGATGTTCTGACATTTTCCTTTAGAATTCTCTGATATAATTCAGAATTTATTGTTCCATCAATGATGGCAAGCCACCTTGGCCTAGATGCAGCAAAACAGGCCCAAACCATGATACTACCACCACCATGTTTCACAGATTGGATAAGGTTCTTATGCAGGAATGCAGTTTTCCTTTCTCCAAACATAACTCTTTTCATTTAAACCAAAAAGTTTGGTCTCATCCGTCCACAAAACATTCTTCCAACAGTCTTCTGGCTTGTCCACGTGATCTTTAGCAAACTGCAGATGAGCAGTAATGTTCTTTTTGGAGAGCAGTGGCTTTCTCCTTCAACCCTGGCATGCACACCATTGTTGTTCAGTGTTCTCCTGATGGTGGACTCATGAACATCAACATTATCCAATATGAGAGAGAAGTTACCCTGATTCTTTGTGACCTCACAAATTGTTCCACACCTTGCTCTTGGAGTGATCTTTGTTGGTCCACCACTCCTGGGGAGGGTAACAATGCTCTTGAATTTCCTCCATTTGTACACAGTCTGTCTGACTGTGGACTGGTGGAGTCCAAACTCTTCAGAGATGGTTTTGTAACATTTTCCAGCCTGATGAGCATCAACAACAATTTTTCTGAGTTCCTCAGAAATCTCCTTTGTTCCTGCCACGATCCACTTCCACAAACATGTTGTGAAGAGCAGACTTTGATAGATCCTGGTCTTTAAATCAAACAGGGTGCACTCACACCTGATCATCATCCACTGTTTGAAAACACCTGACTCTAATTTCACCTTCAGATTAACTGCCAATCCTATAGGTTCACATACTTTTACATCTCACAAAAGTATAATATTGGCACTTTTTCCTCAATAAATAAATTACAAAGTATGGTATTTTGTCATTTGTTTAACTGGGTTTTCTTTATCAACTTTTAGGATGGTTGTGAAAATCTGACGACGTTTTAGATCATATTTATGCAGAAATATAGAAAAATCTAAAAGCTTCACAAACTTTCAAGCACCACTGTACACACAGATCCAAAATGTTGACTTGCTCCTGTTCCGCGTCAGCTTATTAGGAACCAGTCAATTATAGCCCGAAGAGGTGTGTGTTTACCAGCATGTGTGAAAAACACACAGTATTAACAGGATTAGGTTTAACGGCAGATTCCTCTTTGTGAGGAGCTTGAAAGCTGTTTGTAGCAGTAGTGTGTGTTTCGCTTGTTTGAAATGATTGGTATTAAAAAAATAAAAAAACCAAGGCAGGTGTGTTTCTGTGTGTTACCATGACTGCTGGCAGTCGTCTCACTGCCCTCAGTTTGTTGTGTTGTGATGCTTCCTGCCCTCCTGTCTCTCCTGCGGTGACGGGAACTGTGGGCCTTGTGGTGACGATGGCTCTGCCTCGGCATCCGGACCCCCACAAACAAAGTCCTGTGACCTGAGGGGGGCATGAAATACAGGATTTTACCTGACTGAGTAAAGATTTTGTAAACAGACAACAATCCCAAACAAACAATTAATATATATATATATATTTAATGAATTTATTAATTTCAATTTTGCTAACTGACATGGAAACAAAGGTAAAAACATTAAGTCCTTTATTCCTTTTGCTGACAGACAAAACTACTAAAAACATGTCCCTGAGACTCTGTGCTGTGATGTGCATGTGTGTTGACCTTTTAATGACCTTAGGCTCAATAACAAGGTTTAAATGGACTCTGGGTAAAAATAGCATCTTCAAATATAATTATATAAGAGCAGTAAAGTGGGAGCACTGGTGTGAGATGCTGGTTCAAATCTCCACAGGGAGGACTTGTGAACAACACTTTCCTGCTGCTGCACTCTCACATTAGGCTCAGCCGCTGCCGTCAGCGATTATCATCAGCTGATCTGACTTTACGCGCTGCGATAACAAGAGGCTGAGCGAGACGTGAGCTTTTAATTTAATCTCAAAGCAGAAACTTCTGAAATTAACAAACCAACAAGCAAAACTCCAGATTATTTTTTTCATCCTTCACAGCAGATTTTGTTTGAACATTTATAAAGTACTAAGTAAAGTAATCTTATAATCAAAACATGCATGCTAGTATTTGTTACATAAAGTAATTTTTAGACTAACACATCTCAGTTCATTTAAAAAATTTATAATTAGTAATTAATTTTCAATTCATTAATTTTTTTATTTTTTCAGGAGGTCACCTGATGAACACTTTAGTTGAATTTTTAATGATTGACAGACGGTTAAATTCTGCCTTACTCTTAATTAACAAACAATAACATTAAAACTAATTTATGGCATCAGGTTAATTAATTAAAATTAATGTGAGTTCCATCATTTTGATCAAAAAACGATTACATGGATGCTCATTCGTGCCGAATGATTTCCATAAATCACTTTGCTTCTTTAGTATTTAGGTTGTTTATTAGAAATAAATATAGTATATAGCATGTATTGTATATGATTTATTCATTAAACAAATATATTAGAGCTTCATCTTGGCAGCAGTGTGTATTTTTTGTGTGACAGGTGGTTAGAAACACACGTGTGTTTATCCTGTTGCTGGTAACTAACATGCAGAAAAGTGTCAAATGTGCTCATGTTCAACAAGACAACTGAGCTTTGTGGAGATGCTGCTGGGCTTTAAATTAATAATATTAAAATCTTACTCCATCTTTTCTCAGAATAAGACATTTGGTTGGCGGCTTCAGGTACAATTAACTTTAAATTCACCAAGAACTGAAGGTGATAAGAACAGAGCTGCAGCTGATCTGGAAATATATTTATTTTAGCACAAAAAGCTTGTCTTGTGTAAAAACACACTCTTAGAAAGACATTTTCCATACAGTTTGTTTAATTTTCAGAATCATAAAATTATAATGTTTTTATCTGAGATATGATCAAATAAAAAGTATAAAGATACTTAACTGTAAAAAAAAGACCATTAAGGTTATATTTCTTGTACAATATTAGTACAGTATGTTTTATTTCATATATTTACAGCAATAAAAACCTCCATATATGAGCTTCTTATTTACAGTGAATAATGTAATAAAAAGATTAAAATGCAGTGATTTATCAAAGGATAACCAGATGAAATAACATATTTTGTTAATAAGGGGAGTGGTGGCGCAGAGGTTAGAGAGGATAGGTCTGTGATCGGAGGGTCGCCGCTGGTCAACTCCCCGGCTGACATCAAAATGTGGGCGGAACAGGTAAAACACCTACACCTGCCTCCACCCTCACTTGCCCCACTCTGGGCTCATGAGCAAGGCCCTTAACATCCCCCACCCCAGCTGCTCCCTGGGCACCCCATGGCAGCCCAGTGCATCACATGTGCACGTTCACATGTGCAATGGGAAAAATGCAGATAATGAATTTCTCCATTGGGGATTAATAGAGTACAATAAAATAAAATAAAAAATGCCCAAAAGTGAATAAAACTCACCTTCCAGTTCTTCTTTCTCATAATGAATGTTCAACACTGAGCTGGTTCCTCCCTGGTCCACCACCACCTCCTCATCTGGCCTCTGACACACACACACACACACACACACACACACACACACACACACACATACACATACAGTTTAATGTCACATATCAGAGGGTTGCTGATAATTTACTCTGTTTTCCAGCAGAATATCCTGTGTTCAAAAACACATTGTATCGTTGGAAATCACAGTGTTTTTTTATGTTGCAGAATATTAAAAATGTCTGAAAGTGTTCTGTATTAGGGATTATTCAGATAATCTGAAGTGGAGTTTTGCAATTCTTATTACAATCTACTTTAGTTTGAACACTTTTAAAGTATTTCCCTTGAAGGAGAAGCGACGGACACTGTGACCAAGTCAGTTCTTGGCACAAGCTTTTCAACAAGAAGCATCAAATTCCAGAAGCTGAGTTTGTCATAAAAAACACACAAACACATCTCGGAGGTCCAGGTAGTCTGAGTCACTTAAAGCTGTGCTTAGTTCAACACTTCAAACTTCCATCCATCCATTTTGGGCACCATGGACACGTCTACAGTCCATCCCAGGGACACATGGAGACAAATGAGACAAAAATTCACACTCTCACTCACATTCAGGCTCATTTTAGTTACTGAACGTGCATTAAATCTTTCAGCTGTGAGGCAACACCTCTAACTGTTCTCCTCTATATAAAATGAACAGGTTCATCAGTGAGCCTGCTGGAGTCAGAATGTTGCTGCACATTATTTAACTATCCCGGTGACAAGGGTTCCTCAGTAGCAGTGTTTGCTCTTGTGCATTGGTTGCTGTTGCCCATGGCCATGCGTCTGTCCCATGATAACAAGGGCAGAGTCTTACAGGAATCTCATCTGTGTCTCTGCTGCAGCTGCATCGTCTCTGATCCCTCAGTTCTCTGCAGCAGATTCATTTCTATCCTCAGCTATAATGTTACAGATCACCTCAAATTCAACTCCTGAAAAGATTCAGTTAATATTTTTATCTAATTGCTGCAGTTTTTAAAAAGAGCTTTGAGGTCACATGACACATGTGCATGCTTGGTCTGGGACTGCTTTCTTGCTCCATGCTGTTTCATTGGGATTTTAGTTTCCATCCGTGACAGCACTTTATTGTCCCGAGACAGTTCAGTCCACTTGCAGAACGAGTCTTAATTACAAAGACATGTTTTGTTCACCCACTGATTGTGATTTGTGGTTGTATTTATAGATATATATAAAAAATGAAAATGTGGAGGATGGATGCGTTTTTATTATAACTCTGAGTAACAACTTTACATAAACTGAAACTCCTCATTTGATTGCTATTGTCAAAAACAGATAAAAGTTCGTGTGAACGGACTTTCACACTGGCTGTTGTGTTTTAGTAATGTACAGATTTTAACTCTGTTTGAAAAGCACTTTTTTTGTTAGATTATTTAAAGTGTTTCAGTTTTTTCCTCGTTGCCCATTTAATTCCTTACAATTATTTAATTAGCAAAGAGACACTTTTTGTTTTTTACATAAAGTGGCACTGTTGGTGATGTTAAAACTGAGATAATTGTGTATAGATGTGTGAGACAGAAACGTGTCAAAGCACAGATCGGAGGATGAATATTTCTGCATTTTTCTATTAAGTCTAAAAGCACCTTTCCTCTTTAGAAGAAGAGTGCAATCATCTAAGCTGTTTCTAGATCTGGTTGTAGACCTCATTTTTATAGACAGTGTTAGTCAAAGGTTTACATTCATGCCTCTTAGACATGAATGTCACATTATTTGGGGCTTCTAATGAGTTTTTTTGTAACAATTCTTTTTCCAGAGTGGAATCACTAAACAGCATGCAACTTGAATTGTTTTTAAAAACAGGAATTGGGTGACTTGTGACCTGCCCAAGGCCCCACGCCTCTCTCACCGTGACTGCTGGATATAAAAAGATGGCCCCCACGACCAAAAAAGGAAGAAACAAATAAATATGATGGATGGAAGAATTGGGTAAACAAGTTCTATAATCCACACAGGGTCAATATTACTCATACAAACTCAAATATGTACATGCACTCAATCCAAGAAAGTCAGAGAATAATTTTAAGGAGATGGAATTGTTGTGATACTGCTACTTCCTCATGCGGATGAGGCGAGCTGGACTGGGAAGCTCAGTCCTCACCTTCTTCTACGGGTTTGCAGTGGAGAGCATCCTGTGCTCCAGCATCAATGTGTGGCATGGAGGCTGCACAGAAAACTGTTGGAGTCAGCCTCACAGACATTTACACCTCCAGATGCAGGACGAGGGTCACCTGCATCATGAAGGACCCCACTCACCCAGCACACACATTTTTTTGCCTCGCTCCCCTCAGGCAGGAGGTTGAGGAGCATAAAGTGTAGAACCATTAAACTGAGGAACAGCTTCTACCCTGTAGCTGTTAGACTCGTGAATCTCTAACCATAATAATCACTGCTCACTACAGACTCATGTTCAGGCTGCTGTTTAATACATCTTATTGTATTACTTTATCATTGTTTAGTGTATATCTCAGATCCTTTTACACTGTTTATTTTTTATACTTGCTATTTTTGGGTGTAACTGAGACCTTGAGTACAATTTCGTTCCACCTCATGTAACGCATGTGCTGCGAATGACAATTAAAAAAAACTTGAACCTTGAGATTGTTCAGGAACATCCCAGGATCCTTCAAAGTTAACGCATATCCTGAACAGGAAACTGCCAGAGCATCAGTGTCACCATCCACAGTAAAGGGTTTTACATCGCCAAGACTGAGATGGTGTCGACCAAGAAAGAAGCCCCTTCTCTAAAAGTGACACCTTCCAAATTTATTCAAATTTACAGAATGACAGAAACAAAATTTACAATGACAAGGAGTATATTACAAGGACGTGTGGGTGGGTTTAAAAATATAAAAAACACTGTATCGATTGTTGAGCATGGTGGAGGTAAAATCATGCTACGGTATTAGTGCAGTGCAAGTGGATGGAATAATGAACAGTGAGGTCTACCTCTAAATTATTTAGCTTCACTTCAAAACGGCAGCCAGAAACATGAAACTTGAAACTACCATGACAAAAAAACTCAAACAGCTCTGGACTGCGCTGAAAAACCAGTGTCTGCGTCTGCACCGAATACCAAGAAGAGGTCAACTCTCCAGCAAGACAGATGCCAGAAGCTGATACAAAAAAATGTGACTGAGGTTCAGTTTTATGAAGAACGTTTAGAGAACATCCCCACTCGGTTCAAACCTAAATTCTTCTTTTTAAATATCGTTGATGCTGCATGATTTGCAATGATTTCACCAAACAAAAATCTAAAAATGGCTCATTCATTCATTCAACCTTTATTTAGACAGGTAAATCCCATTGAGCCTCGAGGACTCATTTACAAATGGTTCGAATAATTCATTAAAAGCTGATCCTCGAGGCTCAATAAGATTAACCTGTATAAATAAATGGTGAATGAATTTAAATTATGACTGTATGTAAACTTCTAACTGCAGCTTTAGGATCTACCAGCCAAAACTTTCTGCGCTCTCATAAATGGCCAAACACACACAAAGTCTTAGTCATTGCAGCTATGCAGAAAAACATAAGCTTCTATGTCTCTTGTTGTGACTTGGGGCTCAGGATGGATGCATTTGAACGGGATAAAGACATGCAGCAAGAGTGAATGAATGAATGAGCAACTGTAAAAGCTCTCTGTCCCTGAACGGATGGCAGAAAAATCAGATCAGATCAATTTGAATCCATCTGGTCCACATCTACAGAGACAGAACAAATCCATTCACGTGAAGCCTGTTTGATGTTCATAATTACAAACTAAATATAGTTACTAATCACATAATGAAAGAAATTAAGCATGTTGAAGCATCCTCTGTAGGCATCAGATCACTAAATTCAATTCTCGCCTCTTTCCCCAAACGTGTGCTGTTCCTAACGCAGAGCCACACAGATCACAGCTCAGTGACGTCACCTTCTCCATGGCAGGCTCATGCAGGCGTTTGTTTTTGAACAGGTTCATGGTTCCCTGTCATTCACATCTCACCCCCTCTGTACTCGAGCTAATTAAAAGCTCACATGGCACTTAAACTTTGCTTTGCTCTCTGTGAGTGAAGCCGTTCACTTGCAGATGATTTTCCACTAAAAAAATAATAATGTGCGTGCTGTCACCAGATTCTATCACCTGGCAACCGATCTCTTTGTCTTCACTCTTGTCCTCCAGCTGAGAACATTCAGGTGGGTCCATGACTCAATCATTTTCCACAGGGATCTGCGTGACTGTGCCACATCATCGCTCCTCTGCTGGACCCAAAATGGCTGCATGTCCTCGCAGCTCTGCACTTGACTTAAGCAAATCAGAAGGTAACCAGCTGTGGCATACCCACACCGAGGCAGCCAGAGAACAATCATGTGATATGCTGATGATATAAAGACACTATGACGTGAATTTGAAGCACTGAGCATTGTATTCATTATCACATCACAAGCCATCCATCCATCCATCCATCCATTTTCTTTACCCGCTTATTCCATTTTGGGTCACGGGGGTCGCTGGTGCCCATGTCCAGCAGTCACTGTGCGAGGGGCGGGGTACACCCTGGACGGGTCGCAAGTCCATCACAGGGCCACATAGAGACAAACGAGACAAACAAACATTCACTCTCTCACTCACACCTAGGGACAATTTAGTTACCAATCAGCCTAACATGCATGTTTTTGGACTGTGGGAGGAAACCGGAGTACCCGGAGAAAACCCACGCATGCACGGAGAGAACATACAAACTCCACCCAGAAGGGCCGCTGGACCGGGGTTTGAACCAGGGACCTGCTCGCTGAGAGGCAGCAGCTCTACCAGTTGCGCCACCGTGCTGCACATCACAAGCCTTTGGAGCTAAAAATACTCAGTTCTGCTCACAAGATGGTTTCAAAACAGCAAATCCTTCACTTTCTTTCAAGCTTACACAAGTTTGAATGTATAAATTTATTCATCTAGGTACAATAGACTTATTAAAATCCATTTTGTGTAGGAAAATGTGCAAACTGTTTTAGATATGCTGA